GCTTACAATGGTCATAAGGAACGGACTTCTACTTGGTTTCTCAAATCGACAGGATGATTCCGTTCTTTCAATGTTTTGAGGTATGGCGGCGCATCCGACGTTGAAGCGCACTAAAAACCTGTCAGATATTCGTCAAGTCAAAAATGAATATGAAAGCATAAAAAAATTTATTCGTTGAATGTCATGCAGTAGAATTGGTAATAGTTCTGGTTTAGGGTGCTAGCAAGGATCTGTCTTCCGTGAGCTGTTCGTTGGCACGCTGTTGTTTTACAAGCTTCAGCTGAAGCGAATAATGGTGTAACGTCCTATGGCCTCTATATTTCGTTTCAGTTTGTCTGTTGTTGCAGTAAGAACCCAAGTTGCTTCGGTTCTTCAAACCCTTGCAAACCAATCAGGAAGAGACTCACTCATTTTATTTTTGATTCCTTTGGAGTTTACTCAAATCAGCTGACGTGGGATTGACGAATATCTGACAGGTTTCTAGTACCAATTGCGCCGCCATAAAAGAAAACCATCTCTCACTGTCAACCCTCAGACACAGTAATTCTTGACAACTGGCAGCTAGCTTGGTCCATCACGCTCTCGAATAGTATTTTAACCAAAAAACCGAATTGCAAAACCATTTGCGAAACAAGAACGACAAACAGCGCTCTCAATTAGGGAAGAAGGGAAAAAGTACAAAAAAAACAAACACACGCCATCACGCTACGAAGACTGTTGCATGATTATTCATCATTGTTTAAATACTGCTATCAAATTGATTTCAAAGTCTCAGGTTTACGTGCAACATCAATCAACTGCCATAAAAAGCTTGTTGGTGTGAGAACAGATTTTAAACCCTTTCCGTTTTCATTCCCTGTCATTATAATTCTAACAAATAACAACATTCCTCATCATGAATACCATTCAGCATCACGCTCATTCTTCTTCCTTTCATGAACAAGACCAAGAATACCAAGAAGGAGGAGGAGAAGCATTCAAACCAAGACATTCCTTCTCTTCTTCCGATCGTTCTTCATCATCGTCGACTTCATTGTCATGTCTCTCTCCGATCAGTTCTTCCATCTTGACCACTACCACTCCGAATGCATCTTCATCAATAACAACAACAACACATGAACCACAACAACAAACCAATGTTGAAACTCCCATGTTTACACCTATGGGTGGATCTCTTCCAGGATCGACGTTGAATTCTCATCCACAACCACAACAACAACAACAATATTCGAATTTAAATAATTCTTCTCCAGCAATAATGTCAACAACGATAGCAGTAATGTCCAATCGTGACCATGAAATCAAATCTGTTCATTCGAATCAAATTCCGAATAATTCAAATACCTTAATGAATTCCACAACAAGTGCTTCGTCGAACGTGCAACATGTCTCGACAGGTTCAATGACAAGTCATTCGAATCGACCTCGTTCCAATAGTCGAGTGAGTGGTGGAAATAGTACGAACGAGAAAATGGTGGTGTCAGCATCAGGTTTGCCCTTGAAACGTCACTCGTCATCCACGACAACACCTTCTCCTCAATTACCAAATACTAACACAACTTCTGTCACAACGACCACACCAGGAAATTCTGCATCGTTTCACACTCCCTTAAGGAGAAATTCAACAAAAGGACATTCAGGAAGCAGTTCAATGGCCATAACGAAAGCATCTCATGATTATCGACAATTTCTAAGACAGACCATAAAATTGAAGGAAGCTAATGAAATTAGAGTGAGAGGAATTTCGTTAAAATATGAAATTAATTATCATCCGTTTCTTGATGATGCTGTAAGTAGTGATGAGAAATATTTTTCTGAATTTAATAATAATTGAAATAATAATTTAATAATAATATTAAAAATTTTGAAATATATTAAAAAATTAATAACCATTCCAAAATACCTCATTTAGATTGGAAATAAGGCATTTGTAGCAGAAATGACACAATTGAACAAATTCCTCAAAATGCATCAACCCAATACGAATTATTGCTGTCTGGGTTTCACATTCTTTTGTTGTACCTTTGGCCTCTCCTTACTTCCATTCTTTTATCAACTTTCCAGTTTCGAATCCGATGTTCATTCTTACTTGAGAGCTCTCAATAAGAAGTATGAATCGAAAGGATTGAAATGGGAATTACATCCAGCTCATTTACCAACCGATGATACTTTTGTAAGTATATGTAATGGAGTCATGTCACCTGTTATTAATTCTAAATTTTGAACATTTCAAAACGACTACATTGTTGTCATGTGAATGGTGAACCATTAATTTCAAAACAAATTTTATAGATTACAGTATCACTAGAAAAAGAATTAGATTCCAATGTCATTATTGACGAATCACTGTTAATATCTCCACACGAATCCACTCACAATAATAGTTTCAACTCGAGTAATGGTAAATTGAATTCATCCACTACTGTTTCAGATGCACACCTTCTGATTCAATCCAAATAAATGTCAATTGAACACAACAATTCACACTTGATTTTGAGAATATTGTCACTCTTAGACATTGTTAAAGGAATTCGTGTCACATATTGATCGAGTTGGTGAATTGGAGACAGGCTGAGGTGATTGTGGTGTTGGTTCAGAATCTGATTCGATCAAGACCCGTTCGGGTGAAATGGTTGGTGATGTGGTTGTCATGGGACTTACAGTTGACATTTCCTTCGAGTGGTTGTCTTTGGTTTCGACATTAAAATCACACTCAACAATTGGTTGATGCTGTTTTTTAGGAGAGAGTGGAACTGACTTGTTGTTTGAATTTTCTTCTTCATTCAATTTCAACCAGACCTTCTCTGTCTGAATGAACATGGGATAGAATAATAACAAGCTCAATACTGCAAAGATCAACTGCTTAAACCGTGCCAAATGACTTTCAATCCTGTTCGATCCAATGACAATGTGGATGTTGCAATGCCAGCTGCCAAAAGTTGACATAAAATACACAAAATCAATCCAATGGTTAATCCCAAAGTGACAACAAACGGATTGTTCTTGTTCAGAGAAAGTAATGAATTTTGACCTTTGGTTGCAAACTTGGATTGATTTTGACGAATTCCTTTCACAATACAAATACCACTCAATACAGCTGTAAAAGTGTCAAACAAAAACATCCAAATCAAAGCACTGAACAAACCAATTGTGAGATTGGTTCGAGTATTGGTTTCGATGAGTCCAGTTTCGGAAGCGTATTCAATGAATGGAATGAGAGCCACGACGAGTATTTCAATGCTAATGAAAATGGAAAAGATGACAATGTTTAAAATTCGAAAAAAGTGATAGAATCGTTTGGAGATGGCTCGAAGGGACCATGCTGTTTTCCAACTAATGTTGTTGACATTTGGGAATTAACACTTTGGAATTACCAAAATAAGAAAACATGACACTTACAACATGAGTTGAACAAAAAACAAAATCACAAACACAAACACATAATTCCAAAAGAATGTCCATGTCGACAATGCTCCCATCACATTCATTCCTAAAAAGTATGAAGCCTTAAACACCTGCTGTCCTCCATCAAATCTATAATGAGCATTTATATTCCAAATATCATACATGGCACGAATGATTAAATTGAAACATTGAATGGCAACAAAGATGACCACAATGGTAAAGAGAATTTTTGGATTTTTCTTAATTGGAATTTTTCGTTGTCGCAAAACCAAGATCATGATTGCGAAACAAACATAAAAGATGACGAAACTAGAAAGAAAGAAGAAGGAATTGGCGAGTGAGAGGTATTGAGCATGGTAGGGGAAGAAAGTAGTCAGAAGAAGTGATAGTAACCAATTGACCATCCAAAGAGACATTGTAGAAACGATTGGAAATATTTGTTGTTGAATTGTTGGTTGAAGCTGACATTTGGCAATAACCGTCCACAAGAAATCTCCCCGAGTGTTGGTGGTTATAAACGTTGAGACAGAACTACACGAATTGAGTTGTTTTTTTTAAGAGATCTAACAAACATATCTAGCTCCATGACCTTTCATTCGCACAATCTGAAAAGTAGAGATGTCAAGATGAATCTATTTCATGAACATGCCATGATGGATGTCGTTCTTATCTTTTAAAATGCCGGTTTTTAATCTTTTTTATACATACGAAGAAGGCACATCACTGTTGTTCATGGTCGTTGGAGGAGAAGGACTGTTCATAGAGATTGAAGAAGGTGAAGTCATCATCATCAAGGGTGGAGTCGAGAGTGGAGTGATTGGTTCCGAAGTTGTGGTTGCATATGCACTCGTGTCGATTAAGGCAATGGTGGAAGAATTTTTAGGAATTTGCGAGGTTGTGGGAGAAGATTGTGGAGTTGGATCGTTGAATGTAAGGATGATGGAAGGATTGACTTGTTCAGGAGAATTCTGTGATTGAATTTCAGGAGTTGATTGAGTATTGGTTTCATTGGATTTTGTCTGGACATGTGGAATGACAGGTGACTGGATGGTTGTTGATCTTCTTCGACCAGAATCCAATTCATTCAATTTCAACAAGACCTTCTCTGTCTGAATAAACATGGGATAAAACAACAACAAGCTCAATACTGCAAAAATCAACACTGCCAAACATGTAAAAAAGTGCCAAATAATTTTCAAACCTGATTTTCCAGATCCCACTGAAGATGCAATTGCAGCAGCAAGAATTTGACATAAAATACATAAAATTAATCCAATCATTAATCCCAATGTAACAATGAAAGGATTATTTCTACTTAATGAAATGAAGGAAGAAGAACTTCCACTCGAACGAAATTTGGATGAATTTTTTCGAATTCCTTTCACGATCGAAATGGCGCTCAACACAGTTGTGAAAGAATCGAAAAGAAACATTGTGACCAAAGCACTGAAGAGACCGTAATAGACGTTGGTTCGAGTTTTGGAGTCGACTAGGTACAATTCTGCAGAGTATTCAATGAAAGGAATGACAATGACAATAAGTGTCATGAGGGTGATAAATAAGGAAAAGATGACAATGTTTAAAATTCGAAAAAAGTGATAGAATTGTTTGGAAATGGCTCGAAGGGACCATGCTGTTTTCCAACTATTTGTTTCATGTGTTCGCACAGAAATGGTTTTTGAGGATTAGTTTCAAAAATGTCATTACAAATGTCACTAATCCAAACACTAAGAAAACATGACACTTACAACATGAGTTGAACAAAAAACAAAATCACAAACACAAACACATAATTCCAAAACAATGAACATGTCGTCAATGAAGCCAATACTTTCCATCCAAAAAAGTATTCCACTCGAAACAGAGTCTGTCCTGAATCGTACAAATTTTTTGCATTCCATGTCCAACTTTCATACATGATTCGAATCAATAAATTCGCACATTGAATTCCAACAAAAATTCCAACCGTAGTAAAGAGAATTTTGGGATTTTTCTTAATTGGAATTTTTCGTTTTTGTAAAATGAAAAGCATGATGGCGAAACATAAATAAAAGATGGCGTAACAAGAGAGAAAGAAGAAGGAATTCGTGAGTGACAGATAAGTGACATAATTTGGAAGAAAGTAATTGCTGGAAGTGATATTAACGTAGAGACCATCCGAAGTGAAATAAAATTCTCGAGTCGTATTGGTGGATGATGACATGAGATTCTGTTGCTGTTAGGGAGGATGAGAGAGGGAAGGTGCGGATTAGATGAGAGGTTGACGTTTGGCAGATGGTGTGTTTGTTTTTTTCTTGAGAGATGATTTGGCAGTGCCCACCAAATGCGATATCTATCTCCCTGGGTCATGATCTTTGTGAGGAATTAATTTGTGTTCTTGATATTTCATAGACAGTTTTTTCCATTCACTCTTTGACTTTACATAGATGAAACTTGACATGTTTGTGGAATACTGGATAAATTCATCCTTTTTAAATGTTTTACAGTAATTCAGAAGAGATAAATTGTTTTTTTATGTTGCAAATCATATTGTCATTATTTTATTACTGTTGTGCAGAATCATACATAATTTCAATTCTCATATAATTTCTCAGTGAATTTTCAATAAAAAAATATGTACCTCAATCAACAATCAACAAGATTCTTTTCATTTGTCCGACACGCAAAATTAATGAATGAATATCAACGGAGTGGTCGTTGGATGCCAAGATTCCTTCATCCGAATGTATCATTCCTTCTCCTCATCATCCTCTTCATCATCGGAAGAACAAGAAACGATTCAACCCTCAGGCTTACTCGTTGGACATACCCGACCCGTTTCAGCCCTTGATTCCATTTCATTCGGGACATCATCCAATGATAGTAGAATTTTAAGTGGTGGTTGGGATGCTGATATTCGAATCTTTGATGGTCGTACGATGGAATGTTTGATGATTTTGGAAAATTTCATTCAGAAAAAAGAGGATTCGGTCGAGAAGGAAAATATTGTTGAAGAGGATACTGTTAAAATCAAAGGAAAAGGACACACACAAGAAGTGTTGGCACTTTCTCATTGTAAAATGGGAGATGAGGAAGCGTTGGTTGTGAGTGGAGGAATGGATAGTTATGTTAAAATTTGGAAATTGAAAGCGAGTGTCGATGGAAAACAAGATGAAGTGGAGTTGCTTCACACAATTTTGCAAAAAGAAGCACAACAAGAGAGAGCGATATGGAGTTTGACTGTGGACGCTTCATTGAATAGTCCAGTGGTTTATTCATCGTGTCTGGAAGATGGAATGGTTCGAGGTTATGATGTCACTACTTTGAAAATGGTTGCTAAAATGAAATTGCATTTGAATGATGTACGGCATGTGAAGGTTGCCAACTGTCTCGATTCTAAAGCATGTCTATTTACATGCAGTTCCGACAAGTCACTCAAATGTGTCGATTTGCGAGCCAACAAGGTTGCCATGAGAGCTGAAAATATTTCACAAAATGTTCTCATGAATTTCACATTGGATGATACGAATGAGAGACTCTACCTTGCAGATAGTGGTGGTTCTATTCACTCCTTTGACACTCGAATGAGTTTGAAACGGGTCGATGAAGTCAAGAATGCTCATCGTGGTGGCATTACGAAACTTGTTTACAATAAGGGAATGTTGTATAGCGGTGGAGGTGCAGATAAGGCATTGAAAGCTTGGAATTGCAGTGATGGAAAAAAGGTTCCATCTCCTGTGGCCACTGTTGAAGTGAACGATCCAATATTTGCCATGACCAAGCTTTACTAAATCTTGAGTAGTGAAATTTGCATGTTGATGAGCTCAGTAGCAGCAGTGAATAAATTAGTAGATCTGGACAGTCCACCAATTGGTTGATCATGACCATCTCACAAGGTATTTGTTGACACAGTAAAATGTTCTCAAAATTCAAACCAATGGTGTGACATGAAAGGTTCTTAGTGATCAAAATTTATTGAAAATTTTCATCATTTTGCAACTTAATAACTTAATTGAGTGGCTTTCTAGCCATGAAGAAATAACTTGGTGTGAAGATTCCAGTCTTACCACCTCCAACCAAACCATCAGCACCAGCCATCAAGAATTCGTAAGCTTGTTGTGATGTCTTTGGTACCAAACCAGCCTTTTCCAAAAGTCCGACAAGCTTGTGAACCACCCATCGTCCATACGATGTTTGGAACCAATTGGTAAATTCCCAACCACCATTATCCAATGGTTGATACCATGGAATTGGATTGACCTTATCAGTGATGGCAACATCTTGAGTCTTGATGACTTCAAATCCGGCATCTCTCAAAGCTTGATCGATATCCTTATCCATCAAGAGTTCTGGCAAACCATCTCCCTTCATGATATCAAACTTAATCTTGTTGTGTTCTTCATTCTTTGAATCGTACTTTCCAGTGAGCATGACCCATTCATAACCTCCGAAAACTGCACCAGGCTTCAACTTGTTAAAGATTTGTCTATAACAATGAGCACGATCCTTGGCATGACAAGTAGCTTCAATAGCATAGGCAGCATCATAGGATTCAGCTGGCAAATCCTTATTATCATCCAAATTATTGAAATCACCACGAACAATCTTACATTGATCCTCCATACCCATTTGAACAATATATTCAGCAGCACGTTTGGATTGATATGGATGATTATTAACCCCAGTTACATGAGCTCCGGAGAATCGAGAAATATTCACGGCAGGACCCATCACACCACAACCCATATCCAAACATTTCATACCAGGCTTGAGACCCAATTGATTGGCAAGCCAGTATTCGTGTCTTTGAATGGATTCAATAAGAGTCTCTCTGGAATGGCGAGGAGCAAAGTGGAAGGAACGACCCCATCCGTACAAGTAGAAATCAGTAACCATATCATAGTACTTGCCAGCAACATCCCAACCAGCTTGTTTTCTCTTTTGATGTGTTTGGTCGTTATCGGTCGAGAAGAGTTCATGATAGGAACCAGTCTTATCAGTATCAGTAAGGTGGCTTCTTCCGATTTGTTCACGGAATTTAAAGAGGTACAATACAAAACCTCCAATGATGGCCGTAGTAGCAAGAAGTAATATCATGATGATAAGGAAATTTATGAAAAGACGAGTGAAAAAGAGCGAGCTCTAGAGTATTTTTTTCACAACACACCGAACGTTAAATATTTTCATGGAAGAGGATAAGCAAGGATCGCTTTGGAGGAAGTCCGATCCACGCATTTCGTTTCGAGCTCGGTCAGCGATTGATGTTGCATGTCATTTCGTCTACCGTACCTTATCCAAGTTGGTGCTCCCGCACGAATTTTGTTTGTGATTAGAGTCACTACAGTGAAATTGTACCAACCACTAGTGGGAGTTTAGGTCCAGTAGTGTTTTTATCCTAAATTGTTTATCCTAATTGTATCAATATTTATTTGTTGTCATTGCCAATGTTGTCAATTCACAGCAATTCATTCAAAATTGCTTTCTTGGAAGAATTGTGTTCATCTTTCTGATAATTTTGGCACATGTCTTTTCGCTGTACAAAAATTATGTCACCATGTCAGGACTTGCATTTTCCAAGGCTTAAAAATTGTTTTGTAAGGTTTGATGAATTTCTCCAATTAAAGATCCCAAAATATCATCTTCAGAAGGGTCACCGAACATTCCAAGCCATTCATCCAATGTTGAGCTTTCTTGTTGCTGATGGTGTGTTGGAGTTTGAGGAGGGTTTTGGGGTGGTCTAATAATGACAGGTTGAGAGGATGTCATTGCATGAGGATTGTAAAAGGATGGTGTTGCCATTGAAGAAGAAGGCGACGACGACGACACGACAGAAGGAGATCTTTGTGTTCCTGCAGCGCTGTTCATAGAAGTCAGCAATGGAGGATGAAATTGCTTCATGAATTGTGATTGGTATGATGCATTGCTGTTGCTTGCTTGTTGAGTGGTGGTGGTTTGTAAAGTTGGTTGAGGAGAGAATTGTGACCTCAACCCCCAAGGATTCTCATTGAAACTTGATAAAAGTGCAGATCTTGGGAATAATTGTTGCTGTAAACCCACATTGTCATTGGTGCCAGTAGATTTTGGTGAAGAGAAGTTAGAGGCTTGTCTCTTTTCCAATATAGCTTGATAGGACTCATTTTCCATTTTCGTCTTCCATTGTTGATCTTTTCTAATTCGTTAAAGACCTCACCATAATATTTGGTCACTCTCTTAAATTTGGTGGCCATTGAATTCATAGCTCTCCATCCCTTATTTACCATTTCAAAATAATTTCTTTCATATTCGTCATTAATATCGCGTGAAAGGCTCTGCCCTGTTTCATTTTGGTACCAATGATGGATTCAATCTTGGGAAACATTTTACCATGAATGTATGCAGCAAGAGAAACAAAATGAGTCATGGCCACTGGCAAGAATGCGAATGATTCTCTCTCTGTGAGATTAATAATCTTGTTGGCCAAATTTTCAACAGTCTCACCTTCATCAATACCAATCGACAAGTACACTACAATTTCAGCTCCAAAACAAACAATGTCTTTCAACAATAGAGTGAATTGAATTTGAGATGCAGAGAAGGAATTGGCATGGGCATAGCCTTCAATGACATTGTTGAGGAGAGAAATTAATTTCAATAACATGGGAACATCGTCTGGTGTCACACCCTTTTGAAGAAGCTTGTCAAGTTCGTAGGGACTTTGTTTTCGAGTTTTGAGTCTGTAAATGGTGTCGAATCCATCCCAAATTTTCAAATCATGTATATCCGTATATCTACAACAGAGGGAATTCTTGTTCATGAGAGCAATCAACGATGTCATTTCATCTTCATCACTAATACTCTGACAACCTTCACTCATGTAATTGGTTGATGTGTTTTGAATGGCATAATTGAGTGCATTTAAATAAAATTTTGCTGTTGCATCATCACCCTCACCAGCCAAATATGAAGACAAGAGTGAATAGCTGACCTTGATGTAAAAGTTGTCCAAATCATCGAACGCAGAACCCAAAGATTTTCTTGCTTCACGATAGGCCAATTGTGAAGTCTCTCGAAAACCCATTTGTTGTTCACATAATGCTTGCATACTGTACAATAAGCATCGCACACCATTTTTCATGGAGTGTGTCTTGTAATTTACATTGTCATAGGGAGAAGAAGCATCGTCTTCTGGATTTGCCAAATACTCAAGAGCAAGCTTTTCTACTTTTTCTTTTGAGAGTATTCCACATCCAATTCCGTGCATCTTGTCGAAAAACATGTCCAACGTTCTTCGTTTCACAACTCCATCTAATAAACTTTGATTAATTTCCGTATAGGGATGGGTAGATTTTCTTACTAGAGATAATTTTGTGGATTTTCCATTAGTTGCTGTGGGTGAAGAATGCGATTCATGAGGTGATGATGATGAGGATGGCAATTGTTCAGATGGAGCATCTTTGGTTTGTTTTTTGAACCTTTGGTTCGTCCCTTCTTTTTAGGAGTTCTGTAACAACATTCTTTCCCCTTGTCGATACATTCAGAACATGATGGAAGTTTCTTGTCACATTTTCTGTAGTCAAGTGAAATGCACATATTAAAAAGGAATGGCCAACAAGTCAATATATATAATCAAAAATTCAACAATAAATTCCGATGAAAGAATTGACATCATATTTTTGAAATTCAAACAAAATCTTCGCAATGCATGACAAGCATGAGGAATGTACATACCTATGAAGGCGCCTACAGGGCTGGCATGCAATAGAATGAAAGTCACCACCTGGTAATTCGTGACCTTCATCATGATCACTTCCTGAATCATTTCGATGTTCCTGTGTTGTGGTGGTTGGAGTGACATCATGATCCGTTTGCATTTGATGAAGTTGTTGGATTTGTTGTTGCTGTTCATTGACCAAATCAATCAATCCATTTTGCAAGCTTTCAATACCAGCGGT